CCGAACCCCAAGTGTTCGCCGAAAGCCATGTTTGTCTCGAAGACTATTAAATTGAGCGCTGATTGCGACCAAAGACTGCAATACAGCGACCCCTGGAATGCGTGAGTCTTACAGACATAACACTTGAGTTACAGTCAATCTTACAGTCAATTGATTTCTTGTTTTACGCAAACAGTCTCTCGAGGGACGCGTTCGGCGCTTACGACCCCTCCTTCGACCGCACCACTACTGTCGCCCTCTTCAACATGAAGATGACTCAATTGGATCAACTCATTGTCCAACAGAGGAGAGCGCGCGCCCTTCTCAAGGACCAATTGGCGGCCATTGAATGCAAATATAACGCCATTTGCGGCGAATTGGAGGCCGAGCGCCACCTCAGAGCCGCCGACGCCAAGTGTTCGGCCGCACAGACGGCCGACGACGACGACAGTGATGTGAAGAGTGTTTCGCGGACTCTGGAGGAGGAGAGGAGTCGCGAGAAGCAGATTGTGTTGTGTTTGTTATCCGAAAGAAAACAATTGATTGTAAAACTCATAGAAGAGCGACAACGAAATGAAGAGCTCTTATCGGTGTTATCGGCAGAGAAGGCCCGCATCGCAGATATGGTCGAAGGCCTGGAAGACGAGTCGAAACGTTCGCTGCAAATGGAGGCCGAGCTCGAGAAGTACTTGACTGACTTCGAGGGCGAGCGCCAGAAGTTTAGGAACCAATTGTCAGCGTCGGAGACGCGGAACGCCGAGTTGGCCGCAGAGGTGGACCGACTTCGGCAGCAACTGAGTGGCGGCAAGAGTGCGACGACCGTCAGTCTTGGCGAAGGCGTGCGGTCGGCGATCGTGACAATGAGTTCGGCGACGCGTTGCGCGCCGTCTGTGCCGTCGGTGTCGACAGTGAGTCAGCCGAAGGCGAGTGTCGCCCAAGCGGTCACTTCCGGCGACTCTCAGCACTCGTACGCAACCGTCTCTTCCGTCAAAATGAATGCAACAATACCTCCGCCGCCGACCACTCGGGCCCCGCCTCCCAAAGCGCTCACCAATAGCTCCAACGCCAACGCCTTTCAGAACATGACGTATAACTTGGAGGCGACGACACCTCCGACGACCACTTCCTCCACCACCACCACCACCACCAACAACAACAAGACGGGCGCCGCGCCGGCCCGCAAACTGTCGGCGAGTGGCGCCGGGAGGGGAACTCCCCCTCCAATCCCGCCGAATAAGCCCGCCATCAAACCAGTTCTTCCGCCACAGGCTCTTCTCGACCGCAACAAAGAGCTGAACTCAACGAAAGTGAACGCAAAGAGCGCTGCGATGACGGCGGCGACGAACCTGAAGAGCACAACCATTGGCGGCAATGAGAGCACAGGTGAGCAAAGAGCGGACGACCGAGACGTCGATCTGTTGTGTCAGGAATTAGAGAATTTCAATTCACTGCTCGTTTCGATGGTTTCGACGACCGCTTCTCACACGACATGAATTAATGACCGAAATCTCAGTTTTGTTGCTATTATTTATGGCATGTTTTCATGCATTCTTGTTATATCTCTCAGACATTGACTCGTTTTACAGTAATTATTGTTTTAAAGTATTTTGATATTTATTTACGCCTTTGAATGAATGAATGATTCACTGATTATATCTTTACTTAATCTCACTTTTAATCCGTTTTTGTTTTATTTATTTTTGCACTTCTTTTCTATTGTCCAATAAACCACTCAAACAATGACTCAAATACTCAATTGATTGGCCGCTTATTCTGTCATTTGCTCTCTTCCTCTGCTTCTCATTAGGTCGACATCAAGAAGTGTTATAACTTCCACTCGTTTTATGCCATAATTATTGTCGTTTCAAATGGTGTTTCGCACAATTAGATCAGAAAAACTCATTTCTCGCAAACATCTGGTCATTCAATACTCGATATTCTGCTCTCTTTCGCTGTAAATACTCTCCAATTGATCGGAACTTTAATTTAATAGTTGTTAGGAATCGCGAAAGCATTTCAATTACAGTAATAACACACAAAGACTGCCGAATAGGACATGAATTTCAATGTAAATACCGTACGAATAAAGTGTGAAATCAATCGAAAGTTGTATCGATTGTCGACTGAAAGCAATAAAATTGAAATTAATTGTAAACCAATTTATTAACACTTTGTCTAAAATGGGGTCAAATATGCGGCAAATGTCAATATATACGACTCCAGTCTCACCACTAATTCATTGCAAAGGATATAACATAAGTTTAAAACTAGATATAGATCTCTGTGTCGCCCAACTCCTCGTCCGACGGCAACTCCAGTAGATTGGGATCAATCAGATTCTTGTCAATCAACGGAAGGCCCAGTCGTTCGCGTCGATCCAACTCCAGGTACGCCTCTCTCACCGACCAGTCGTACAGTCTGTCAAAGAGTCGGCGCTTGAGATCAGCTGACAGTACAGACAAACACTCACTTGTAGTCCGGGTAATACATGATAATATAGGGCACAATGACTGCGCCCATCGTCACGATCAAGAAGAAAGCCCAGCGATTGATGAATCGGTCCTCTGCGCGGTTCCCGATATCCCAGCCAAAGGTCAGCCAATTCTGCGCCAAAACCACAATCAATGCGCGAAACACTCAGTGATTGGTTGCAAACCTTTTGCGACTCCACGTCCGCGAACTCGCGGACCGTCTGCGGCCCCTTCGGCTGGGGGTCCATAAACCCGGGGACGAAGGACGGGATGGAGCCGTCGTGCAGGTCGTGGGAGTCATGAGAGTCGTGTCCCTTCTTCTTGTCCGACGTATTGATGAGACGATTACACGTCCTTTGAATGACACACGTGTTGGCCGAGTGTTTGGCGACCACTGCTTTGGACCAGTGGTTGGCCCACAGTCTCGGCCGCAAACATGTCCTCAAAAGGTTTGACATTATCTTCAAATGGATTGCAAACAAATTGAAGACAAATGTTGCGATTGTTTTGCTTTTCACCACAAATTACGTGCGACTCGTGTTTGGCAGACATCACATCACATGTCTTCAGACGCGGCGAAGAGCGACGCAAATGAGGTGACGGTCGCCGAAAAGGTGACCAAATATGAGCACTTTGTGAACGATGTCTTGAGAGAGGACTTGAAGCGGGTTTTGCTCCGACAGGAACTCATTTGCCAACAAATGGCTCAATACCTGCAACTGAAGGCTGTCTTCCAAGGCGTGCAACGGAACCGTTTAGTCGACGATTGCGAAGACAAACCCCTGAAAATGCAAACAGACATCGGATCCAACTTTTACGTCCAGACTGTCATGTATGTGTTGTGTGTCTGTCTGAAAAGCATTTACTGACAGACATTGTCTTTTAGAGCGAATCCGCGCAAAGTGTTTCTTATGATAGGAATGGGTTTCTATGTGGAGCTCACTCTCGAGGAAGCGCTCGCTTTTATCGACAAAAGACAAACCCATCTAAACGAAGAACTCAATCAATTATCGACTCAATCGTCGAAGATTAAGGCAAACATTAAGTTAATTATGGAAACGATTCAACAAATTATTAATTTATAGAAATGATTTCATATTTTGTATTTTTTTGTGATAATAATAAAAGCAATAAAACTTATATTTTCATTAACTATTGGGAACAGTGTCTAGTCTTTTGTAGGTTTGACCCATTCATGTGCCCATTCATATGCATGTTCATCGTATAGATGTCTCAGTTGAGTTTGGTGGTCAAAAATATTACGATTGCATATTACCGGGGATACAGTAACAGTAATCAGCAAATATATGGAAATTTCATAATGAAATGATTACTAATACTGTATTACTTGATTGAAATGCTTTGAACGGTCATCTGTGTGTTTATTGTATTCAAAGTAGTGTTCACTTGTCTCTGCTATTTGTGATCGAGTTTTTCATTGGTATTGATTGACTGAGAATTGTGTCATTCATTGCATCGATTGGAAACCAATGCACTGAAAGTGTTTGTCGTTTGATTGGCATTACTGTAGTGTATGTGAAGGAACACAAAGAGTGATGCACTGAATGAGCGTTTGGAGAGAGGAGTGGACTATAGCTCCAGTTATTCTGAGAGACAGACTCTGTGCTCCTCTTTCGCCACAC